ATTTATTTTTGGGACAGAGAGAGACAGAGCATGAACGGGGGAGGGGCAGAGAGAGAGGGAGACATAGAATCGGAAACAGGCTCCAGGCTTTGAGCCATCAGCCCAGAGCCTGACGCGGGGCGCGAACTCCTGGACCGCGAGATCGTGACCTGGCTGAAGTCGGACGCTTAACCGACTGCGCCACCCAGGCGCCCCTAATGACTTTATTTTCTAAGCCAAATGTATTACCAGGGTATGTTGGGGTAGGAACTGTTCTTGGGATTTGTATGGTAGAGTAAAAACACCCCCCATTAATGCAGTTACTCAGTTCACTTTATTCTGCTGCTCTGAACAAGGGTCTCATTCTGTCTCCTCAATAAATGTCAGCATCTCCAAGTTCCCTCTTGCCATGTGTCTTTTCTATATACTGCTCACAAAGTGATCTGCACAGAGTAGAGCTGTCTTTCATTGTGTCTCTCCTTTACTTAAAAACCTTTGGTCTAGTCAGACCTTCCAGAAAGATGACAAAATGAATAAAATGAAGTAATAACATAAAATCTAAGGAACAGACCCAGCTTCATGCCACACTTTTAAAATGCCGGTCTCAGGATGTTTCTTCTAGAAACTGAATTATTCTTTGCCCTCTCTAGCCTATTCTGGCACATGGAAAAAGGAGAATTTCTCCAGGCTTGTTACAAAGCCAGTGTAATACTGATAACAAAATACAACTAAACTGACTAAAAAAGTAACTAGTTTAACCCACATGTGGCCATAGATGCAAAATTTTTCAGAACCCAGAATCAGCAGAAACCAGGAGTTCCTTTTTTCAGGTTCCTTTTCCTAGTTGAGTCATTTTCATTTTTTAAATTAAGTATTAGAAAGCAAATTAATAGAATTCATCTTTTAATAGGTTATAGGAGAAGACAATAAAATACGATGTTCCAGAAGATGCTAGGAGACTTTTGATTGAATTTCATTTCCTTTATTCGTCTGAAAAATACTTCCTAAAATTACACACATCCTTATTCTGAAAAGGGAAAAAAAAAAAAAAAGTTTGTGAATATAGATCTGTAGTCATGAGCGTGTGTGGTGGTCAGCTGCAGCAGACGTTCCTGTTAATGTCAGGTTCAAGCCAGGGTTTTTCTTTTTACCACGGTGTGACATTGTTCCGGAAGTACTCAGCAATGTACTTGAGTGAGAAATGAAACAGCAGAGCTGTTCAGAGTTCTAGAGTGATAAACAACATGGCTCTTGAGCCCTGTCCCAGCCTACCTCTTCAGCCTTATCGTTCACACCACCACCAACACCAACAAAAACCACCACCACCACCCGGGTTGGTTTT